TAAATCCTGCTACGATCAAAAAATTGAACCATGGCAAATTATTGACTTCCAATTGCATAACAATATCATTAGGAAGTTTTTTACGTTTTTCTCAAAACTGCTAAAAATGACTTACAGTGTGACGAACAGCCTCGAAATAAGGCAAAAAGGCGGAGTTAAAAATTGAAATTATTTATAAGATGGAGCGCAGCCAGGATTCGAGAGGGTTCGAAATTGGAATCGGGAAATTTCCGCGCAACATTCTTCGCGATTAGAAAAAACGGATAACGAGAATTTTGTTGCGTAAAATATTCAATTCATGACCGATGCAAGCATTAACAGATTGTGTGATTTATCGAGATTCAGTGTGAATGTAGTCTAGTATACAAACACTGCACTGAAGTAGCCTGTATCAGATAAAATGCATTATCGTATGAGAAGTATCAGTCAGTATTTAGTGGTGTTTTATTTTGCCGAAAAACACTCTTGCTGTTCCAAATATTATTTTCTCCCTTGTTTTAGATACCGTACTACAGAGGAAAGTTCTACCCATCCCACTTATCGCAGGCTAAAGCTGAAGAATTTGAATGTTCACGGTATGGAGATGATATGAAGAATGTACATGGTGCCGGGGGACATCGTTTCAAAACTGGCAAACATGTGGATTATACTCTTCGACCCAGGGGTGCAGCCAGGATTCTCTAAAGAAGGGGTTTCAAAATCGGAAATTCCAATTCTATTCCGAAACAGTCGCCGCGAAGTGCCGACTTTTTCAGTTTATAATCATTTTTCTGTCGCGTAAAATATTCAATCCTTGACAACTACGACAATCTAAAATGTCTTTCTATATTAATTCAATTGTGTTAAACGTAACTCGCGGTCGCGTCTTCTAATGACAAAATAAAAACATTACTACTTTAAAATACCACGGTAATCTGTGAACATTAAAATATGAGATAAACTACCTGATTGTATTTAGTTTTGGTACGTATTTTTTGCAATCTCACGAATTCGTTATCGTCGCCAGAAAAATCTCAAAATACTATATAAAATTCCATACATAGCATTGTTTTCCTCGATCTGAGTTAATGGATGGAAATCTAAATTAATCGCGTTCGGGTTTGCAATGAGTTCGTCTTCATTACTATTCATAACGTTAGGATGTCCCAGTATGTTCCCCAGCTTTTCATTTTAGGGGGGGTGTTTCGAAGTTTAGGGGATGGAAAATAATCTGCTATTGCGATGAAACTATTCGTACTTTCCAAAAAATGGGTATGTATTTAAGAAACAATGTACATGAGGGGTCTCCCAAGTTGATTGACGGCGAGCCAAAATACACAGCAGATAAAAATGTAGGGCCAGAAAAGGCGAGCGAAAAGTGCGCGACGACACGGCTGGGGTTCAGGGCCCTGAGAAAATTTTGAGAAATAGGCACCAAAATAGGCTATAAGCTTGATTTTAGATTAACCTAGCATCGCAGTTTGTTATGTAATGAAATTAATATTTATGATATTTAGCTGATAGAATTCCCGGGAAATAAATAACAAGCACGGCTTTTAGCAAGTAATTTACAACTTATAGTGACTAATGAAGTTACCTGCTCATCTAGCATATGGCATCGTATGAATGGCTACTTATGGCTTGTTTTGTTACACATTTAACATTTTTTGAACATTTTTGTTTGACTTTTGTACGAATCAAGCAATGAATTAAATTTTGAAATACGCGCGTCAACTGATCATAATGGCGCATAATGTTGTATTCCTTCAGAACTGAAATATTTTGTTGGCAAGGAAGACAAATCGCTGAAGTTTGATTTTTTCCAATAAAGAAATAAAAACACTGCCATTCATCTACAAAATGTCTGTTTATAGTGCCTAGTTTTCGTTTTGTGACATCTTTAAGCTTTCTTAATATATATATGGCTAATATCTAAAATACTGCGGTGTGTAATCCTAATACCTATACGTATACATAAGATACCGGTATAATTCAATAGTTACGAAATAAACGTACTTAAACTGTGATAATGATGTAACGATAGACGGAATCTAAAACTCAAAAGGTACCACATGAAGTGTTAAACTATTTTACTCAAGTTCGGCGGGCCATTTTAAATCGTTACGCGGGCCGTAATTGGCCCGCGGACTGCGGTTTGGAACACCTCGTCTACACTGAAAAATATTCCATAGTCGTTATATTTGAATGCAAATATAATTGAGTTAGGAATTGCAGTGTGGACTGTGAAATCGCACCTGGGAATAACAGTGTCGAATCGCACCTCAAAATTAGGGGGGGTGTTTGAAATTTTAGGGGGGTGTTCACCCCCTATAGGGGGGTGTAGGGAAATCACTGGGATGTCCCTATTTCGGCGCAAATGGCAATAGTGTGCAAAAATCCGTGGGTGTAAATGTTCATGGGTGCAAATTTACGCGGGTGCAAAACGCACAGCCTTGGGTTGGGGGGTCGGTCAGGTGGATAGACAAATTAGGCAACGTGAGAGAATGCCTAGAGAACTGAAGAGAGATGCAGGACTTTCCCCAGAAGAAGAAATTGTGCGCGTTATGAAGAATGATCGGTTTCAATCGGAGATGTCAACACGTTTTATAAGACTAAAAGACGAATTTGGATTTCTGCGTGACGTTAAGACTCTACTAGTCGTATTCGCGTGCATCAATGGGACAGGATCGTCTCAGTGATCTTCCACTTCTGAGTGTTGAAAGAGAAACATTGGGAAAAAAGATTGATGACGTGATTAACCAGTTTGCGACAGTAAAATCAAGAAAAATAAATTTATTGTAGACTATGTTAATCATCTTTGACACTGACTGATTGGGACATTATGGACATAATATGCTATATTTTGTATAGCTTTGCATCTTCTTTAAATAAATTGTTCCATTAAAATTTAAATTGTTTTTACATATACAATTAAATGTAATAGAAAATATATGATTAAACGTGGCTGTCGGGGCGCCAATTTTATAGTTTTCCCCTGGCGCAAAATATTCTGGCTACGCCTCAGTTGAGGATTGATATCTTGTGGAACAGTATTCGGGTCTCATGTAGTTTTGTATCTGACATACTTCTAGTGGGCGTAGCATGACAATATTTTTACTTATCAATCCTAACCCCCACCTGACTACACCATCCAAAATTTACGTCATTACGACGTCACAGTGACGTAATAGAGCCCTTCAAACTATACGAACTGCCAACCAAGACGCGCAAACGATCACCCGAAATCGAACAGTTAGTTCTCTCGTTTTCTCGTCGCAACGATTCCAATAGGAGAGAGACCGATAACGTCAGTCAGTTTTTTATCGTCGGCGCTAATGCCGTTTCGGTCGATCGTGCGTATATTTGGCAAGCTCTATGCCGTGATTGTGATGTCGTAGTGATTTAATTTTTGGATGGCGTAGTCAGATGGGGGGTTAGGATTGACATATCAAAAAATTGTTATGCTACGCCCACTAGAAGTACGTTAGGTACGAAACTACACGAGACTCGGAAGAGGCAGGGCACCACATTTGAATCACAATTTCAAGTAAATGAAGCTTTTCGAATACGGTTGGCTATCGCTTTTAAATTTATTTTTTTCATTCCGGGTGGGAGACTAATTTAATAAATTTTGCAAAAAAACTAGTCGCTAAAAACTGGCAGCGGTGGGATTCGAACCCACGCCATCGAAATGACTGGTGCCTTAAACCAGCGCCTTAGACCGCTCGGCCACGCTACCACGGCCCGCATAAGCGCTCTCGAAGGAATATATAGAACGAGAGTTGATCGCTTTTTTCATAACAACAATAAGACGGTAAGCTTTCCGACGATAAAATTGTAAGATTTGTTAGAGAGAATGTAAATAGAAAACATACTCGACTGCAGCTTACTCACGCAAAACCAGTACTATATTCAAATACACTGACATACGCCTTTTTGTATTGGGGGGTTAACATCACATAATTACACTGTTAGATAGCTCCGAGTTTGCTTCCCCATGACATTAACACTGCACCCCGAAAAATATGAAGCCTATTGAGTAGATACATACGCTACTTCTCATAGTGCGAAACGTCTCCAAAAATGCATAACAACGGCCACATTTTTTCACTCTCACTGGAAGGCAAATAATATTGGGCTTTTCACAAAGAGATAGATAAATCAAAAACTTAATACTGTATTTCACATCAGATTAGCATTTTGTCGTGAAAACTGCATATATTTTACATGGTACTGTAGCAAGTACATCAGGTTGGTTACTGTGGACTTCCATGCGTTTAACGTAAGTAGTATATATTTACGGTTTAACCACTTACTGCTAATAGCGCATTTTATTTGCCTGAAACAAGGTCTTAGTCCAATTCATTTCCAAAATATATGATTAATTTCATGCACGATTTCATATTCAAATGCACGAAGAGAATGTTGTTGGAATTTAAAAATATTTGAAGGAATGCGAAAAAAATACATAATGCTCTGCGTTCGAATTACCTTTAATGTGGTTTCGTATGGTTGGCATACTATCTTGCAAAGGCTGTAAAAGCCGACGTCTATGTTCAACAGCCAAGTGTGATACATGTGAAAGATTCACATGGGGTACAAATTTACAATATAAGGACCTTAGAGAATTTAATTTCGACTGTTAATTAATATTGCTGTCTGACTATTGGTTAGATACAAGCATTTCGTCAATTGCGTTAAATGGTGCAATGGTGTAGCCTATGTGAGTATAGAATCAGTCCCGAATATGTATTTAATATAAAACTTGACTATTCAGCCACAGTTCCCATGTCTGTTTGGTTAAAAATTTTGCAAAAGTTTATTTTGTTCCACCCATTATGCATTGAATATGGAGTCAAAACATTAAAATATATATATATATATCTTTCATGAGTAAAGTTGCATTAAGTTATTCTTTTCTTAGTGTAATGCCGCTGGATTCAGTCCAATTTAATCGAATATAACACATTACCCCGAGGGTACAAACGCAACACTGGAGTAAATACTTGTCTGAACACGGCGGTTCATAGTAAATCAAAGTTATATTACAGCAGCTTGACTGGTTTAGAAAATAAGTATATATCGTAATGAAATGGAAATTTAAAATAGCCAAATTAGTGGTTATTGTCATTACATGCTTTTGCATTGTGTACCTGGTCGGCGACCAAGACAAAAATATTCCTATCAATGAATTTCAACAACAAAACATACTGTCTCGGTCTACTGAATCTAGTATGCTGAATCAGATTGCTGTTACATCGAACTTGGACTCAGATGATGTAAAAGGTAACAAAATTCATTATATTTCACTCCCATTTTTTTGCTTCAACTTAGAGAGGTTGTATATTGTTTAGCTGGGTGATGTGCAGTCTAAATTTGAACGAAAAAAAAATCTAAACAATGTTGGTAAATTGGGGATACATTATATCATACTATCGAATTTCTATCATTGTACTTTTGTGTTTCAAACTTGTTAATGATCGCTGAATCAGAATAAGATTATAAAGCCAAAAGCATTGCTTTACTTACAGAAAGCTTTACTCCGAATGCAATTTTTCGTGAAATATTCAACGTGTGTAAAAAATTCTAGTAATAAACGTTCTAGTAATGAGTAATAAACGGTAATATCCATATCATGCATTAACTGAATTTCATCTAACATATATACCAGGGATGGCGAACCACTGACCCGCGGGTCACAAAGTGAAACATCGCGTTTTATTCGTGACCCGCCGAGGCGCGAATAAAATGATAACATATCAGTGATGAAAATTGATAAAACCTGCCTTAAATTAATCTAACAATAACTAAACTATTATAATTTACCGTCAGTTGGGCAGTCAGGGTTGCGATAGCTTATATTCAAATTGTTAATTTTCGGGCCGTTAAGTTTCAAAACCTCTAATCTTGGACGCGGCGTTATTCAGTTTTGGCTCTGATATCGTTTTCATGACATAACAACGCAATTGATCTGTTCATTTCTTGCAACGTCTTGTCTCTTTCGGAAGTGCATCTGCAGACTACGAGACATACGAGAACTACATGCTACTTTGCGAGTGCCATAATAAGTCCCTGATAGAAGTTCTGCATAAGTAAAGTCCAAAACTACACTAACAGAAGCTTAGTATAAGTTTATTTCGACTTCATAATCGGTATAACAATAAAATGATTGGTGAAAATAAATAAAAAAGATTATGAAATCAGGAGAGCAAACACAACCTTAGATAAGGTTTAAAACGTACAGAATGTATATAAGATGGAAGGTTTTGCCAAGGAGGGGTATGTGTTCACTCAAGTAAACACCTAGCTCAGGGTGCTCCAAACCCAAGCCCGCGGGCCACATGTAGCCCGCCGCTTCCTTTTTTCGCGGCCCGCGTCGCATTTGCGCAAGGGTAAACAAAAAATTGAATTTGGTGCAGTTTCGTCATAAAAATAACCAGAAAAATCTTCTGACATATTGTTACTTTACTAATGTCATTGAACTGACTGGTGTTATGGCTAGCTGAGGCAACTAGCAAAATTGAATAAAGTGGTTGGCTAGTCTAAATTGTTACCTGGTTTCTATATTTTCGGTCGGGAATATATGCTAACCAAAATCGGCTTCATAGAAAACTAAAAATCTAATAAGGAATCTATTAGCCTAGGTTGACTATGCCTGATAACTAAATATTAATGTAATGACCGACCAATATAATTCCTGCCGGTTGTTTTTTTTGCAACCAGCCTGAACCGTAATACAAAAAATGCTGCCTATATGCCAGAAAACAAAGTAATTACCCTTCTGTTTCTCAAATTTGGTGAAAATCGGTAATTAATCAATCTGCAGTTATTTTGCAAAAATGAGTTTGAAATAAAAGCTGACCAATTCAAACATGTTTTTTTGACTACATACGGGAGGAAAAATATCACAATGCTTGCTTGATATGATAACAAAAACGGCATTTTCTTCGTATGGCACTTCCTCTGTTGTGAAGATTTTGAAGTCTTACACCGAATGTAGATATAGTAAAACTTTTGCACGTTTAAATGAGTTTTTTGCATGTTTTAGCTTGATAAATGACAAATAATGACCAATGTGTTTGGACAATAAAAGTGTTTGTTTTGTATGGCACTGTTTACCAATTCTTAGCACTATTGTGGCCCGCAAACAATACAAAAATTATAGTGTGGCCCGCGAGACCAACCACTTTGGACCACCCTGACCTAACTTATAAAATTTATTTCAGAAGTTTCTTACAGACACTAACATTGATTGAATATCTGTGACCCACGCTCTTCTGTTCAGTGATAAAAATATAATTTTCGACCCATTGATTGAAAAAGATTCGCCATCCCTGATATATACCATACTCATTAGGAGTGTTCCTCTAGCTCAGGGGTGGGTGGCCGATCAGAGACCAAGGGTGTCAGTCCGAACCTTAGTCGTCGGTCAGAACAGATCAGTGCTTTGATTTCACGTGTTTTAGGATATAAAAAAGATTCGCAGACGTATGATGACCCACCCAAACATTGACAATATCATAAGCGCGCAGCTCGTTGTACATTTGGGTATTTTCCATTGGCATACTTTTCCATAACTCAATAGTCCCTTCCCTTAAAGCGCATTTCAGTCGGTCTCCCTCATAAAGACCAATCAACTTCAACTCAGTTGTAGCCTCATCTAAGACTAGAGAGAATTTAGAGAACAGTCGACGACGTAATCTGTGACGTTTTATCTGCACTCACAATTGACCCAAATGGTAAACTGCGCGTTTGCCGCCGAACTTGGTTTTCGATACAGACATTGAAGTACAGACATTGACTGTAATAATGGACGATTGCATGGTAAAGTGAATCAAGGCGCTCATGCGTATTCGACATAAAAGACGAACGCACGGTGAAACATAATATGTTTAATCAAAACGTGATCAAACGTAGTTTGCAAGGTATTTTTTTCTTAATATTACCCAGGCGAAAAGAACCGCTTGAAGCCGGCTCACGAGCCGCATGCGGCTCACGAGCCACGGGATGGCCACCCCTGCTCTAGCCCATGCCAAAATCGAGGAAGATGTCGAATATGGAAAGAGCGATACACATGCCACTGCGACGAAGGATGGATGGGAAGAGACTGCGAAGAAAGTAGGTAACATTGTTCTCTTGTGACCAAGCTAGCGATCACGATTTGACCAAGATAATTACCAAATACTGGAATTCTGTATAATTAAAAGAACTGCTGTCACCATAATAATTCTGCATGAACTATATAGCCGGGGCAAAATAGCGCGATTCAACCCGAAATTATGATTATCGGACATGTTTTTGTTTTCATTCAGAGTTGGACGAGAAGCATAAAAAGAGGGAAGGTCTTTGGGCTTCAGTGGTGAACAGTCGCAGTACAGAGGTAACCCTGTGGTTCAGGCGAGCCACGTTGTGAATTTATTCCTTGATACTATAATTCTATTCTGGCTGATCATAATGCCAATAATTTAATCAAGAGACATTGGTAAAAACCTTATATTTTCTTAACCAACATGGGCGTATGTTAAATGAGAATTTAGAATTGTACGCCATTAGAATGTTTCACTTCGAACATGATCAACCATTCACTGATAGGTGCGTGTATTATGAGCGCCGTGACGGTACATTTCACTTTCGATCGAGCATAGTCTACTACCCTTCATCAATCATTACACCCTGGATTGGGTTGTGAAATATAATTTGGATCTGAAATTTACAACTTGCGAAGCCAATGCAGTTAAAGGTTGTCACGCAAAAATTTTTGTAGCAAATTTGATTCTATATAATTTATAAAGATTTTTGGCGTTTACCGTTTGCATAAAATGGACTTCGTTTGCGAGACTCGAATTTTTAAAAGTAGACCCTGCCGAAATCGAACGCAAATTAGTATGTGATGACGTAGTAGGGAGAACTCGTCGGCGAAACTTCGCGTTAGGTCAAAGGCAATTATAGCATTCTGTGTACTTATTTTGAACCGTGTACTACAGTAGTTCTATTGGGTGGTGCATTTGGAGAAAACTTTTGTGATTTAAATCAATACTAATATCTTTAAATAATAATATTGCATTATGAAAAATTACAGTAAACTCAACTAATCGAGGTCAAGACGTACTCGAGTTCTGTGCCGGACCTTTTCCTGCAATATATTTTCTAGTGGAAGAGCGCATACCAGCCATTTTTGTCTTAAATGATCTAGATTTTATATTTGATGTGTGTTTACTCTGCTTATCTGATTCTATAACTAGTCTTTTTGGTATATTTTCGGTATATATAGACTATCTGACTATACCGGTATATGCGCAAACACTACTGTACCGTATGGAATGTGTAGTTGGTGGTTACAGCAGATTTCACAGTGATGGATCTGTCTCCAAGGAGAAAGCTATGGATACAATTTTCGCAAGTAACCTTTTCTGATTTCTCTCCATGGAACTAAAAGAAGACGTCCAAGTTGAAGGAGCGTTTCACATTTCACCCACAAAATTATGTTGGAATCCATGCAAACCTCCTACCCACATCCCGAAACAACAATACCTCACGCAGTTATTCAAATCAGTTTTTATTCATTTTTAACATTTTATTACAAGTTTGCATCTCATATAATTCATTCATGCCAATAAATGTGTTGTCACGAATCTCCATTAGTTGATCGATAACAGCTGGACTGTGTTGCTAATAGCAGTGTGCACTGGAAAACAAAGTATACAAATTAAATTGATAGAACTGAACTGATTCTACGTTTATCTGGTAGTAGACTATCACTCTTTTGGTAAATGTACAAATTGGCAATTTGTATTTGGTTCAAACAAAAGTGTGACTGTGACACTGGGTATCATCATGCTTTGACTAGATATTTTATCAAACAGTCGATAAACGAAATAAAGTGGTAAATACTTACTCCAGGATCAGTTCTTCAAAGCCTTCTGACGGGCGGTCAGTACCAGTAGGCCTACGGTCATTACATAAAACGCCGTGGCTTGATCCCCTCACATTCAGAACTTTTTATGCATTAGCATTTATGTTTAACAATACATTATTGTTTCAATCTTTATTGAACTACGCGATGAGAAACTGGATTTAAACGCCAAAAACAGAGGTTGGACACCTTACTCGCCAATGGCGAGGAAGCTAATTTCTGAAACGAGTTCTCACTACTACGTCATCAAAGGTCGTTCCCGAACCTGGGTCGATTTTCGTTAAGACGGGTTTCAAAAATTTATAGGTAGAAAACTAAGTTCACTTTATGCAAGCGGTAAACGTTAAAAATATTAAAAAAAATATATAGAATCAAATTTTTCACAAAAATGTTCGCGTGATAAACCACCTTTAAGAAATACTTTCGAACTAGACCTGCTCCACATTTATTTGAAAAAGCTCCATTGTTCTTCATAATAATAAGTGGGAAAAATTATATTTTCTATGTGCAGAACTTAAGTCGAAGATTTCCGGATGTAATAGGAATTGGTGTTGAGAAATGCGGTACAGATGCTGTGATATCATTTCTTAAGCATCATCCTTTGGTCAAAGTTCCCGAACAATATAAGGAAACTCAATTTTTCAATGAAAAATATGAGAGAGGTCTAAAATATTATCGGTAAGATTATTTATGTATTATTTTCTTTTGCATTATTTATTTTGAATTTTACAGATCTGAATCAATCATTATTTTTGAACACATTTTTCGGATAGCTTGGAATTTGAAAGGCTGGATTTAAATACTAATTCTCAATCTCAGTAATTTGAATAACTTCCAATGGATTGTAATTTACCTGCACGATTTGATATTACAGGATATCGCACGGGGCAAATATATTAGTATGCCAACTTAACTTACAGAGATCTCAAAATCGAGTACATACTATATAGACATTACTTACATTATATTAATTAAAACAAAAGCAATTCGGCTCCAGAAAAATTATTTCATGACTCCAATATAACTAAATATATAAAAACATTCACGCGGGAACTTTCGATTGGCTTCCAACCGCATTAAAATCCCTACGATCCTGCCCTATTGCTATTTTAGGTTTCTGTACCGTTAATCTGAGTCTATGTAATTTTGTTTTCCAATTAGAATGGTCAACATTATTTTAACTAATTGAATCTTGAAAATATGAAATTTATGAATTTGCAATTTGCATAAACTACAGAAGTTTGATGCCGAAAGTAGCAAACGATGAAATCCTGATGGAAAAAACTCCAGCTTACTTCAATTTTCCACCTGCTGATATCCCAGATAGAATTAAAGCAGCTCTACCAGACGTTAAACTCATTGCTGTTCTTTGTGATCCGGTGAACAGAACGTTTTCAGACTATGTGCACGAGGTTGGTTTATCATATGCTTCCAACAACAAATAGATTATATAGGCGTATGGTAAACACTTCTTTTAGTTCATATATTATTTTGTTTGAAATACACTGCAAACCCCTATAATCTGAACAAATATGATAGGTCCGTACATAATAGTAAACACTGGTAAAATCAGTATATAAAATAAGTAACTAAGTTTAGATGCCTTGCACATTTAAGAGATTAACTGAATTCCTCAATGATGCGCAGATGCCGACTACACTATTTTTCCTATTCAAATTGGTTTAAGTCGGTTATCTTAACGCTTTTGTACCATTTCAGAAAATAATTGGGGGAGTACATGCAAAAACTTTATACGGTGATATGGTAAGCAGTTACTTGGATAAATACAGGAGGAACTTGACAAAGATATTACAGAAGGCAGATACTGATGGATACGATTATATCGACAGTTTGCATCAGAGGGATAAACCTTCTCATATATTCACAACAGGAATATATTATTACGCCTTACAGAGATGGACGAAGCTATTCGATGCCAACAAATTACATATCATTTCCGGCGAAGATTTGATTTCTCAAACAGGCGTCGAAATGGAAAAGTTACAAGATTTTCTAGAAATTCCAAAATTGTTATTAAAAGAGGATTTTGTGCGAAATAAAAACACTGGATTCTTTTGTTTCAACCCAAAATGGTCTAGTGAAGCTAAAAAATCCATGAAAATGTATCATCACGAAAAATGCCTCACAAAAAGCAAAGGTAGAACTCGAAACAAAGCGACGAACGTTAGTTCGGAAACTATTAAATCTCTTCAAGATTTTTATCGTCCTTTCAATGAAAAACTTTTCAAGTTTTTGAATAAGAAAATGAACTGGCAATGAATTGAATGAAAATATAAACCATCAATTTTATTAAACCTTTGGATTACTATATCCTTCTGGGACCATCACTAACTTTTGTTAACAATTAACGTGATAGTAAAGCATCAACTTGAGCATCAAGTTTTTATGTTTGTTTTACCACCCATAACTATTTCCGAGCAGTTTATATAATTTTCTATTGTAAGGTTCATAAAATTGTGTGAGCGATTGCACACATGACTGTGATTGTTCCGAATGTATTTTTGATTCAGTCCTCAAAGGGCAACGAACATCAGGAGGCCGAGATTGTGACATCCAGATAGGATTAAAGCAACTTGTTCGAGTTTCGTTATCTTTCACGAAATCTTCTTTGAAGATAAGACTTGGTATTTGAAGAAATTTTTGAATTTTTTCAAATTCGTTGCCGGTATTTTGAAGCATATCTTGTCTGTTAATGAACATTAAATGCTCGGAGTCAAATTCCATCTTCCACCTGACAACATGATGGTAATATATGCCCGACGATATTATATGTGAATTGTACTCTTCCGTGAATGCATCAAAAAATATTGATTGTATTTTTTCATCCCATTGGCGATATTTTGATAATTTTTCGGCACTGAACTTTTTCAAGTATGTCCCCAGGAGTATCTCATATTTCGATGTTTTTGTGATTCTATGGTTCTTCACCTGAAATTGAAACTATTCGTAATGACAAGTTGAAGTTGATCACTTGAAAAGTTTTTAAATTACTTTCCTTCCTTGTTCATTTATTTGTGAATCGTTGAGTAATAAAGAAGATGTTATAAGTGACGTAACAATTGGACTGTTAGCAGATTTTCAATAGCTCGTTTTCGCGGTTTTGCTATAGGACATAGATAGCTATTCGTCCATGTTTCAGAAGTTTGGATATAAATTAAATAACTCAATGATTTTTTTGTCTTTAAGAGAGTTTTAGTTTATTTGCAGCAATAAAGAATTGATCCCGAAAAACCTGCGATAGACCAGACTAAAATTAGCTAATAATACTTTTAAAAGGCAAGTGCTGGTTAAATTTAAAATGAGAATAATGATTATGAAACAAGTAAACCAGTTTTCATGAACTCAAAATCAGATCGAAAATTTAGCAATGGTGAAGTACCGGAGTATTTCTAATGTCAAGGGTCAGGGAAACACCCATTATCGTATGTGTGCACGCTATGGTTTGTTGGAGGTTTTGAAACTAATACGATGTAGAAAAAATTAAACTAAATATCGACTACTCGAATTTTTGCATAAAAAATAAATGTTCCCCAAACCTTATATATTCTTGCGACTTTCTGTGCTGTATATATGCGAGGACTAAAATGTACAAGCGTTTTGGGTATATTCAAAAAATACAATCACAATTATTTCAAAACGGGATCTGGAAAAGAAAGTACCGGTGCAAGAAATAAGAGCTGGTGTCATAATTTTTAATTCATTGCAACTTACCTCTTCAATGAAGTCTATTTTAGCTCTATGAACAGGATCGCACAATAACACGAGTATTTTAACATTTGGCAAAATGCTTTTAATTCGTTTTGGAACAGCCATTGGAGGCCAAGAGAAATAGGTTGAAGAGGACTCAAGTACGATCTCTTCCGGAGATGACCATGGCATTTTCTCTCTGAAATTAGTAAATATACCTGGTTTAGTGCATGATCCTTTCGTTGGGCCTCTAGAGTTTTTGTTTTGTAAACAGAAAACAATGCATTCCAACTGGGATAGTCGCACTGATGCATTATTTCCGATTTTGATAACTGAATGTCCGCTTGTCGAGTGCTTTTTTGATAGAATAGAGCACAGGTAAATATCAAAATCTGATGATGCATGAGTATTTACATATAATAACGACGATATCAGGATTTTCAACGATATGAAAGCACGATGTAGTGGGAATAATATTTGAACTTAATTTAAAAATATTTTAGACAGATATTGTTGAAAAACGATAGTGTAACTGACTCTTTTTTCAAACTGTAGATCCAGAGCACTCAAACAGCCTGCATACTTTGTTACAGAAGTATTCAAAAATGATCCGAGTCAGACATTTACTCATACAACTGAAAAGTGCGGGTAGCGGAAACTGCGTAAATTTTACCACAACACTAATCAAAAGATAAGTTCGCGGAGTGTATAGCTTCAGGGCATCAAACACAGACATTTGAAACCCACATACCATATTCCTACCAAAATTATTTATATATTACGTGTTTCGTCTATTTAGGCCTGAAACTTTTTCAAATAATATAAAATTTAAATAAAAACGCATTCATTTAATCAACATAATTATACCGTGTTTCCCCGAAAATAAAACCTAGCCTGAATTTTGGATATGATTTTAATATAAGCCCTACCCTTAAAATAAGACCTAGTCAAAAACGAATTTTTATTTGATGTAGTCGATCACGAAATCTCTTCTACACGTTATAAATGATGGATAATCTACGTTTTGCAGTTATTTTGAATGGAAACGCGTTATTTATAAATAAATAGATATTGGTTTTCATATTTTGTATATTTGAAAATCTCGTAATTCTCTGCTTTGTAATTTTGTTTTCAATAAATGAAAATTTATATAAGACATCCCCCGAAAATAAGCCCTATGGTTATTTTTTGGAAGAAAATTGAAATAATACCCAGTCATTTTTTTCGGGGAAACACGGCAGTACATACTCACTTTAAATATTCAGGGCTACAAGCTTAAAGTGCATTTATACTAATATGATATTATTATAACAACTGAGATTTTTTGAATATTTACTGTATATATACTTATAGTATAGTGGACCCTTTGCATAATTTGCAGTGAAAAACTTCAAATCTATCGGTGATGCAACTTTAATGAGTGGATGTAGACGAATCAAATCAGTTAAAGCTGATGATCCACATCTTTCTGCTCCCACTATGATCGCATCTGGATATCGCTTTACTCGTTTCTGGAAAATAAAATTGTTGTTATTCAAGTTCTATTCTGATTTCAACTGTAAGGTTATTTATGTTCGTCAGATTTGGGGTCGGTCTGTGAATATTACAAAGCGTTTGGTATTAGATTTAGAGTTCAAAAAATATGAAAAGCATCCATAGATTTGAATGGTGTGGTTAAATTTCTCTACCAATGTTGGTATGTGATATCAACTAACCGAAACTATTTTCTGCATTCTGGAAGTTTTTAGTAACGAAAAATATGAATATATATATATATAAATGTTTGCGGAAATTAAATGACCGGAAAGTTCCCATATTTTTACATTTTTGAGGGATGAATATATTACATTTCTGAAGATATATCAACAAAACTGTGAACCTAATAAAAAATAATTTAAGAAATAACAAAGAATAAAAAGTACATATATTAGTTGAATATTGTTTCGTTCGTTTTTGTCATCATTTATAAAAGGATGCGGTAAGTGTAGGTTGTACTGTACTGAAAAGAAAGTTTTATGTAATATATATACTGTATAATATATATTAGGTGTGATCAATCTGCTTTCGAACGCGATCGACTACAATCTTTAAAATAGCTCGCAATCGACTGATTGGTAGTAAGGTCCTACACAAAAACGAATGGGTTCTGAATTTGCAGATAAGTGCACGCATACCAGAAATTCCACCGCTGCCAATAAGAAGGCTTTGTGGGCGCATTTTTAATAAAAATCGACTCAAATACTGTATTTGTATATTGTATTTTGCGCATCTACAGTTCTGTATGTTTTAAAAAATCCAACTGCGCTGGTTCAAGGCAATTTTTGAGGGTATTTTATTAAATTCAGTCAACATCAGACGCGATTGATTGCTCGAGACGTGGCGATCGTCCGGTCTATCGCGATCGACGTCATGGCCACCCCTGATATATATTCAAATTTGTTGCCTGCCGGCTGATATTAAATACGACATAGCAATCGTGGGTATTATGAAAACTCGTTTATTAAAATTACGCTTACGTGTTGTCTAGCGTTGTTCATGGTTGTTTCCCACGTAAGTGCTCGATGTCTCAGTTTATCTAAAAAAAAAAATTTAATTGTAAGCTTAAATTGGTTTTTACCATGCGGTGTAATGAAAGGCATAAATATTTAAATAGGAGGTAAAATGAATGCATTGGGATTAGTTAAAATTCGAACACTATATGGACAAATTAAACTGTTGTGCATTCGGATAGCATTTATTCTCACATAAACGAGGTTCGGTTGTTGTAAAACTTATTCAACCGTAGTTCTAAAACTCATCACCAACCTTTTAACTTATTTTCCGGCCATATGAAGTAATGTATTTGTCGTAGAAAAGAACTCGACTCCGGGTTTTCATGTTTTTCTAGGTTTCGCGAACGTTGTACATTTTGTATCGACTCACTCCGAAATATAAAATACAGAAGGGAAACGAACACAAAAACCAAGACATTCATAAAAGCAAATTTTGGCTTTTGATGTACTTTCTTATATATGCCCAACATTTCCTGTAAAATTATACAAGTTAATTTTATTTAATTAAATTCGATTTGTTTCTGAAACAATCATTAGAATGCAATATTTTTGTATGCAAAACGATATGTGGTGACCCGATCGTATGCTCCCTATTATTCAATGTTTTTGTATCCTTATAATTCGCAAATAAATATGATTTTTTATTTCTTTATTGTACATTTTGACGTGAATATATACTATAAATTTTAAATGAAATAGTTAAGAATCAACTACGTGCGCTATTTAGAAACAATGTTATTATTTATAAAATGTTCTTGACGTTGAATCTACCTTTAAAATGTTTTTACAAAGATCTTTAATTTATGCTAATATTACTTTTCCCATGATTTCACTTTGCTGGCGGTAGTTTTTAAGGAGTTAAATAACGAAGCGTATACTTCAGCGTATACTCCAGACTCCCACAAAATGAAATTATAACTTGCCTCAAAAATACAATCTCATTCAGAAAACATATATATACTCAAAAATCTTCGATATGATGTAAACCTCATCTTATAGCTTCCTTCCTGTCAAATACATTTCTGAATAGGAATAAGGGATAGTTTTAAATTATCGTGAACAAATCAATGTTACGAACAATATCACATTTAAACAAACTATCAGAGTTTTTACCGTTCACTCCCGCGGGCAATGGGTAGTATTGAGTTACAATATTGACGTAAACTTGGCTGATATTTCACCTTCCTGTTCTGCACGATTAACTTTAATGCGGATTTATATTTGATCAGAATTTGCATATATATATATGCCCACATGTAGCCTATGATTCAGAATAATGACATAGGTTGATACAACGTTGCATTCTTGAAATATTTTATCGTCTGCATCTAACCGGCCCGAAGTTCAAATGTTAGATAAAAGTGTCGCCCAAGCCTAGTTTGAAGTTGTGTTGAAAGGAATATAGCTTACCACAAACCTTTCATACGAGACGTTAATAATCTTCAATATATATAATCCTTCTTTATTAGAAAGCCTATCATTCCTGGCGTTGAAAAATGTCATACGAACTAACTATCTATCCACCGCAAATCAACTACGACAAAAAGTAAATGTCATTACCGACAACGCCAGTCATGGATACCAATTAGTGCTTTGACTTAATTAATGAAGCGCACCTTCTAAAAACACTTCTCAGTTGTGTACGATCTTCTACATTTTTTTTTAACAATGTCAAGTGCGTTTATGTACAAAACACAAATATGATGCAATGTGCTGTGATCCCGTTTCGAACATACAAAATAAGCATGTCCAGTTAATACGTACAATCTCTCGCCCTAAATGCTATGTTTTTTTTTTTACCTGGAGGCGAAATATAATTAGGTGTAATAGTTAGGGCCGAGTTTGCCCGTACTTTTTATTGATGTTGAAACCTTTTGAAAAACACGTTTTGCGGTATACGATGGTATCGCTTTGGTAAAGGCAAAAAAAAGAAGAACAATAATTCTACTATTATGTGTTTTTAATATCAATTTTTTTTAATATCCCTTAGCTAAATAATCTTCTATGGTGGCCCAAAAAACAATAAATACAAGTTCAACTAGAAGTAATATATTTATATTAATGATAATAGATTAATAGAATATAAAATTGAGTACGAAAATTCGGGAAATTTGTTTTTACGTGTAGAAGGTAATTGAATTGGAGAATGCTGCTCAACTGCTCAGTTGTCCGGACACTCTCGCGATACCGGTACCGTCTGACCGTACCTGTACCCATGCAATCACTCATGAAACGAATGGGAGATACGGATAGTCTAGCCAGTAGAATATAGTGAATCGAGGGATGGATTGGGCGCAGCCAGTTACAGGTTGTACCAGTGGCGTAGCACGACTCTCGTGGGCCCCCCCCGCAAAAATATTTCGTGGAAATGACCCTAATAACTCTCGGACATAAGCTAAAACAACGCTTTTTTTATTTCGTCAAAAAGCATAACATGTCGCTATTAAAAGGCAATGGTAACCTAAAATTTGCCGTTTATCTTGGTTACTTTGATTTTTTTCATACGTGCTTCCTCTTCTGCCCTTTTTCTGCGTTTCTGTGTGCCACTGAGAGGTTTTGGTTTCGACGTAATTCTGACAGCCTTCGTAATTTTGCCGGTGCGATCAAACCCCAAGACGCCGAAAATCGACGACTCCCTGGCATTGTTACGTAACAAAACGATTTGAGCAGAACTAACATCAACGTTATAAGATGTGCATTACTGGTTTTGCAATGCAGCCTTTGGTTTTGCGGCTTAAATTTCTAAATTCTAACCGCTTGGGCCCCATTACCGTAATGGCATTACGCTGTGGGCCCCCCGCGACCGCGGGGGTTGCGGGGGTGGATGCTACGCCACTGGGTTGTACGTACAGGCATACCGTACAGCCGTAACGTACCGATCCAGACAAATGATAAATCGCGGGGGCTCAACCATTTATTTCAATCCATCCCTCGATTCACCATATTCTTCTAGAGATAGACTATCCGTATCTCCCACTCGTTTCATGAGTGACTGTATTCTGGGTACCGGGTACGATCAGACGGTATCGCACGAGTGTCCGGACAACTGAGCATTTAAGCAGCATTCTCCAATTCAATTACCTTCTACACGTAAAAACAAATTTCTCGAATTCTCGTATTTAATTCTATATTCTCTTATCATTATTTTAAATATATACATATTACTTTTAGTTGAACTTGTATCATGGAAAATTAATAGAACATCTGCATATTAAATTTATTGAATATTGTTCAAGAAAATCACTAATGAGTTAGAAACCCAGGAAACATCGTTTGTGCGCGTTGGATTATGCATGACAACATTGGTCCCAAGCCGAAGCAAATATTCTCGAAATAAAAACGCGTGACAACGATGGGCCACGAGGCGGCCCATCGTGGTCAACCTTTTCATTCACGTTTTTTTTTTTTCCAATTTTTTCTTTGCTTTTTTTTATTCCGTTTTTATTTTATTTTCGTTTTTATTTTTAATTTTTTTTTTTGCATTTTATTTTTTTTTTTTTCATTTTTTTTTTAGGTTTTTTCACAACTATTTTTTTATTTTTATTTTATTTTAAGTTATTTATTTTATTTTCCATTATATTTTTTCAATTTTACGCGTGACAACGATAGGCCACCATAGTCTTCCTTTAACACCTTAACTAGTTTTGGATATTTTGTATAAATCCCTAACGATTTGAGAAAAACAAACCCGCCACCTTTTTAAATAACAAATTACTAAATATTAATTACTAATTATTGATTTAAAAATTTTGAATTTCCAGCCCAAATCTGCATTCCACACTAACCCTAACAAAATAATTACTAATTTTATCATTTTTGAGCGTCGGCGGGGGCTTTGTACAAAAGAACCATAATTTTGAGTAGAAAAGTATAAATATTTAGCTACACAAAGAAAAACACAGTTGACAGCAAATGCAAAATTGAGACTCATATCAGTTGTTTACTGATTGCCGCATAACTCACTGTGCGGATGATGTTCCGCGATCTTCTTCGAAGTGTTCCGCGGGACAGGAATAGGAATTGTGACTAAATTGGTGGCCATGGCGATCTCGGTCGTACTTCGGCGCCTCTGGATCGTAAATTGGTCCCTCAACTGACAACAAACAGGCGGACAGGCCTTGCTATCTAAACAGGCGGCCTCGTTCCAGTCTGGAAAGCACGGTATTTTCGACAACCGTTAACCGTCGGCCTAATTTTCAATTGTCTAGTTTACAGCAAACTCTTTAATTTATCACAGGCTAAATTTTTTGTAAAACACCCTTTTCAATGGACTGTTGGCTTAAGACTGAAAGCCTCGAAAGAAGTCGTGATGAGCCAGTTGTGCAAATTGATGCACAAAGTATATTAAACAATTTTTATTATTATCAATTTTACCCTATAATATCTTGATGTTCCGCGAGGCTAAATAAAATGCGTACGTGTTTCGGACTTTCGGGGCAGAAAAAGTTTGAGAAACGCTGTTCTACTGTTTCAAGTACTCGTACGTAGTCAGCTGCGTGATGGCTATCGGCTTTCTCTAACTTGATTGATGACGCGCCAACGGTCTTTTCGAATTAACTAATAACGCGAAAAAATGTGAAGATTTTAAATAAACTTCTATATTCGAGTAATTAACGAATTATGCTTGAGACTATTCCGACTTGAACTATTCTATTGATACTTTATTATCATCAACGAAACATTGTTTGGCATAAATTTCAAGAAACAGTAGCAATATATAGCACTGAGACAAAACAATGTATGCAGTCAAAGTGTATACTTGCACTCCCCTTTTTGTCAATCTGTAATGACGCACGTGACGAATCCAGTATTTTGTTTTCGTGATAAGGTATTTGAATTTAAAACGCGACGCTATTCATTTGTAAAAATTCATATTCCAGATATTAGAATACACGATACGATATTATGTATATATGCAGAAAATTATTCAAGTTTTGACAATTTATGTATAATTTTTAACCCAAATATTTCAAATAGCTGCCGGCTTTTGCATGGTTTGAATAGTTTATAATGTGTCCACAAATTGGTATTACAATAATATATTGCACTGGTGTCGCCCTTAAGCAATGTATGGAATATTGAAGATTCCTTATTTCTGCAGTTTTCCGCTTAAGGTTAGATTTAAAATCCCCAGACAGTCACATTTTACAATATTCAAGAGAGAGATGTACCGATGTATCTGTATCGAATTTAGGTATAGGCAATATCGGTCATGTTTTGACACATAAGTTAGTATTAACGGATATTGGCAAGTGAAACTATTTTTGCCGTGGATGGATCATGTACATGGCATTCATTGCTTTACTGCGTCATCATTAAATTACCTCACAGTTAGTATAATAGGTGATCGCCCTTGAAGGCGCAAAATAGGTGTATTTCACCACGTTCTAATCGAGCGCCTCTGTACGATGAAACCTGCTATAATTTGCTTGATGAAAGTGCTGATCGGTCTTTACATGTGTACGAAATAAAATGCAATTTACTATGCGAATAATTCAAGTATTTTGATAAACCGTTAGCAGTAGGTCCAGTGATATACCATTCATGTATTTGAATCACAGATACAGATTTGAAGTTGCACATTCTCGTGTTCAGGCATATCTATTCTTCTAGTTGAAATAATATTCACTGTAAATACTATTCGCAGACAAATATTTTATCACGTCTTTTCCGTACACTAAAGGACATTGTACATACATTGATGTTAATTTCCTATTATTGGAATATCGGTATCAAAATACCAGCGTACTGGTAGGGATATTGGCGCATTTTCATTAGTATTGGATCGGAAATTTAACATCGTGATATCGGTACATTTACAATTCATAATTGAATTATATTAGTTCACTAAACGAGTAAAATAATTGCAAAAGAAATTCAGACATATTACAGTATATAAATTTGCTTATGTCGTGGCCGATGTAATTTTCCTTTCGCAGCATTAGATAAATTCAACGTAAAGTTGTCAACCAAACCAACAACCGACCACTAGTGGCAGCATTGAGTAGCTATCAAAGCAACAGAACAATACGTTTGCAATACGTTTTGCAATATTATCGCGAAATTCCCATTGATCAAAAATTTAGTGAATTCATAATGCTATGCAAATTTTGTTATTTATTATAAGTTTAAAGAATCACAAACATTGGACAAAAGTTCCGGTTTTCAATCAAAAAATTCGAAAATCAAAATGAAACTTTTTTTTCTGATATGTGAAATATTTTCATCTAGTATTTTGACTTTTCGTTCTTGCTCTTCCCCAGAAAGTTATACGAATAATTTTTGTTTCAATATTTTATTTTAAAGTGTGTGTGAAGTTAATATTTAATTCAAAGTAAACAATTGCTGCACCCTTCTTGACACTTTAATCGACAAATCTTTAAAATTGACATTACATTGGATAAACAGTTGATACGTTAGAACTATTTAACAATTAGCAAGCGTCTTCTATTAGCCTCCGGGCGAGGCATGATCTCTATCATCTCAAGAGTAAAAGTGTGGCCAATT